TCTCCTAGTTGGCTGCAGCCTCAAAGGCCTTGAGATTTATTCATACTATTATCCCGTAGAGGAACTCAAGTGAGATATTCCACCCTGGTACTTCTGAAGTTTTTTGCCCTTTAGAAATCTAAAGAACTAGAAGATTTAGAGTTCATAAAATAATCTCTAAACCATGTTAAAGCAAATGACTTTCTCAAAAAAATTTGTTTAGTTGAGAGCTTAATTTCTTAACTTTAAAGACTGTTCTCTTCTTGCTCAATTCTCTAAATTATGTGGGATTGGGACGCAATTCCAATTTGTACCTAAAGATTTTGGTTAAATACACTTGGTAGTGGGCTGGAGATTAAACTCAGTGGTTCCACCGCCTGCCTCACAAGTGCAAGGTCCGGAGTTCGATCCCCGGTACCCCCCCCCCCCAAAAAAGAAAAATACCCTTGGTAATGGCAATCCTACTTACCATTTTTTCATCTCTTTTTGATCTGTTGTAAATTAGGGGGAAATGTCTTTATGTTCTACATCTAATCTAAGAGGACTCTAATTACTTAAAAGCATTTAGATCATAATTAAAATTATTTTCCCATAAAATATTATGATTGCATGCTCCTATTGTCTGAATTTATGTAAGAGATATAGCTTGCTTAAAATACATATATATAAAGTTATATTTTCTTAGAAATATGGATGTTTGCAACCATTGCTTTCAAAGAGATTACTGTGTATTCTCGTTTTACAGTATGTTTCCATGCAGACTGTTACACCAGAGGCTTCTGATTATCAAAGTGATAACCAGTTTTAACTGCCTGTACCAGATGTGTGCATTTAAAAAAAAACCACACAAATTATGAATAAAAGGGAGTCTGCAAACTAAAAAAAAAAAAAAATGGATGAACCTGACAAGTTTGAAAGCATCACTACTGTTGAATTTTACAACCCTTCTTCATTTGCATTTCCAAAGTTGAAATTCTCCTCTGGATCTTGGGAAAGTTTCATCGTCAAAGTGCTCCCAAACGAGTCACCTGTAATAATCTAAGGAATAAGAAAGAGCATACTAGTGAACAAAAATCTCTTATACACACGTAGCTTGACCTGTCACTTAAATTTTCCTAAAAACCTGCCTTGTGACAGAGGCTGTAGCCATAGCCTGAGACAATTATTTCCAGTGAGTGCATACTCAGCCAACAGGGAGAACTGTTGGTTATATTAAAATAGCAATCCATTTAATGCATATTTCAGAAAGTTTGCACTGAGGGATAATTTGACCACAAGTTCTAGGAGTTAGGGTATTGTACACCAACCTGTTTTCCTAGGAAGCAAGGTCGTGAAAAAGAAACAATATTCCTCTCTCCTGACTTTAAAATCACATATTTGAGGGCCAGGCGGGCTTTGTGCAGCTGGTTTGTGTTGTGCCAGGGTTAGATTTTCCTCTGTTACACGTAGTACTGAACATTACATGCAGACCACGCTTTCCTTACCAATTTGCTGCAAGGCTGCAGAGCTGGCTTTTGAGCATTGCTGAAAGTGTCTCAGCTCTGCGGTTAGGAAAATGTCACCGGATGGTAATTTAATTTGTAGATATTGCACAATTACCAAGGGTAACCATTTATTTTTTGGCAGAGTGACTGACTCCAAGGAAAGGAGAGGCATAACTGAATGCTGCGTAGTAAATTTGACAAAAGGGCTGCAAAACCCTAAATGCTCCTCTTTGGTAGACCCCATGTGTATTCGTATGCACATATAAACAGACCACAGGTTCACGTGACCCAGAAAGAAAAGACCTGCAGATGCATCTGTCCCCGCCAAGCTTCAAAGCTACCATAGATTTTGGATGGATTTAAACAAAAACTAAAAACGTACCACCTTTGAAAATAATTTACCTTTATTTGAAAGAATCTTGGTCAGTGAGTACAGGCGAATCAATTGCTGCGACTTTGTAGGCTTGCCCCCATACAGATATCTTACCTTGACTTGTACCAGAAGCGAGGAGCTCTCAGAAGGACTGGATAGAATGGTCTCCAAGTTTTATTTTTTTGTATGTGTTTGTGCAATGACTACATTCCTTATGGGGTATTGGTACACGTACATGACACATCTTAAGGCCTTTTTCCTTCCCTTTCCCTCCCTCCATGTCTTTACTCCCTTCCTTTTGCAAACGACCTATCTCCATATATCCTACTACATGTCTTTTTATTTTGCTCCTTATTTATACTTTTGGTTTCTCATATAAAAGAAAACACGTGATATTTAAGCTTGTGTAGCTGATTCATTTCACTTGAAATTGTGGTTTCAAGGTCCATCGGTCTTATTATTAAAGATTCAGATTTACCTTTCTTTAAGGCAGAGTACTACTCCATTATATATACATTTTTTTTAATCTGCTGATGAGCACATAGGCCAACTGGAAGATTAAGCTATTATGAATTGGGCTACTATAAACATGTGTGTGCATGGATCATCATAATATAATGACTTTCACTCTTTCAGGAAGATACTTAAAAGAGAAATATTGGGTTGAATGGAATTTCTAGTTTTGGTGTTTTTAGGAATCTGCATACTGATTTCCACAATGGTTGTACTAGTTCACACTCCCACCGGCAATGTAGAAGAGCTTCTTCTCCCCCACCCCTTGCCACCATTTGTTATGATTAGATTTCTTAAGGATGGGTATTCTTTCTAAAGTCAGATAAAATCTCAGTGTTGTAGTGTTGTTTTAGTTGGATTTCTCTAATGGCCAGTGGGATGGCTGTTGTGTCAGCTTGAGGAAGAAATGCCCAACAGATTGGCTCAGCATGGTTCTGGGTGTGGCTCAAGGGATTTACAAAATATGGAAGACCCACCCTGGGTGTGACATCAACCAATAGGTTTATTGCCTGAAGGGAATAAAAAGCAAAATGGAGAAGGGAGGCTGCTCCTGTTTCTTGGAGAAGCTCCTCTTTACCTTCACCTTGGATGTCATCTCCTAACTTCCAGCACAGACTCTTTTGCCTTCTAATAAAAGCGCCCCCACAGTGAGCCCTTTTGTACACTCCCACACCTGACTCTGCAAGCGGCCACTGTAAACCTACCTTGTAAACCCTTGCATCCTATGTTAAATCTGTTTCTCTAGTGAGCACTGATTAGGCAGGTTCCCTCCTATGTATTGGCCATTTGTACTTCTGAGAAATGTCTATTCATTTTAGTTGCTGCATCCTGTTTTGTTGCATTGATTTGCACATCTGCTTTTGTGCTAGCAGCATGCTATTTTAATCACTGTAGCTTTGTAATATAACTTGAAGTCCAAGAGCGTGTTGACTCCTGCTTTGCTTTTGTTGCTCGGAACTTGAAAGAATTTTACCCATTAAGAGCTGTAACAGGAAAAACTCAAGCCAACTTGAGCCAGATGCTCAAATTACTGAGAGAAAGAAAATCATGCCTGACCCATTAGCAAACATGCAAGAGTATGGTCCAAAAATGTCCAGGTGTGTGAGAACTCTGCTTGATTATTTAAGCCCTCCTAATAATTTCACATGGATTCCTAGCATAGGAGATTGCAAAGAATGACCTCCTTTTGGGTTTGACAGGGAGCCCCTGTTGCACTTCAGGATGTCAACAGGGATTACAGCAAACCTATATTTGCAAAGTGTACAGCATTGAATGGTCACCCCAGTCTGTCCATTGTCTGATCCATGGAAGATGCAGGCTGGAAGCACTGAGCAATTAACATTCCCAGTGAACCTCAAATGGAGAGGTTGGACTTGATGTAGTATCCCAGATTCACAGCCTCTCCCCTGGTCAACTCTGAGGCATGTTTTGCAATCACCTGGGAACCGAACCCTGTTCTTTACAAGGAGACCCATGTATGAAGGACTCAGTGCTGGCTTTTCTACTTTCTCTGTGTCACTCGTCCAAGTTCTCCTAGAGAAGATTTGGCTCTCAAAGGACCTGCATCTTAAGCCTTGCTTCAGAGTAGGCATTTGGGATGCATCTGAGAGTTAAAACTAAGTCAGTACATGCCAGGGTAGAGAATAAGAATCCTCTGCATTCAGTGCACTGGAGGAAGCTATCCACTAAGTGCCAGCACTACCACTCGAATGAACACCCAGCTAACAAATACATTTGATTCATCAAGACATAGCTGTCCATTAAATGTGATATTCTACACAGTGGGTTTCAATTATTTCTACACAATGGGTTTCAATTATTTCTCTTTGGCCCTGGATCGAGTGAGTAGGTTGAAGTTTTGATTCAGGTTTCTGCGTTGTGGATTGAAACACACACACACACACACACACACACACACACACACACACACACCATGCATGCCATCCCTTGTTTTGCTCCATGGGATAACAAATGTGTTATCATCTGCCTTCAGATGCCAAGAGCATTATCTGTTGGTGAAAGAGTAATGTGCAAACTACTTCTTGTTGAAATATTGTTTTACCTTACAGTTCTGTACACCAACCCAAGGAGGTTAGTTCTCTATCTAGGTTTCAAAGATTCTACTTTGCATCACAGTCTTGAATAGTTGGCAGTGCTTATGGTCAAGAAAAAGATATAAAGAAAATACTTGGAGTTCACCATTCTTCTGCTTGCCTGGAGGGACATAGCTCTCACCAAACTCCAGGAAAAGGCTCAGGACAGTCCTTCTACTCCATGAGTCAGTTGGCTGAGCTAAAAGTGAGACACTAGTCATTGTTCTAATCATTAACTCTGAGAGGACAGGCAGTCAACATCCAAGATCCCTTTCTCTTGGGTCTTAAACTGAAGTTCTTGGTCAAGTGAGATTTAAATTATCAAACAAGTCAACAGCAACAATCACACACACACACACACACACACACACAAACACACACACATATATGGCTTGGATATTGAGAGAATAAAAAGGAATCCACCTCCCAGATTCAGATTCCTAGAGAGGCTAGGAAGGAATTATGACTTCTGCCCACAAGGAGTCCAGAGAAGGTCATTTTGTGGGTTTAAGTACTTCGTGAACATAGTCTATGTTCAGAAAATCAATGCCTGTCAGAAAATGGGTGTCATCCACGATGTGAGGCCATATGCTATGAAGCCAGGCTCCAAGTCCTGATTATAATATCCAACTGAACTCTCCCTATTTGTTTTTCTTAACTGACAAATAAAAAGCTGTATATACTTGTGGTGTGCAGGGCGATGCTTTGATATCTGCATGCGCTGGACATGGCAAAGCCAAACTAGTTTACATACTCACCACCTCACAGGTTCATCACATTTTTGTGGTAAGTACAATTAAAATTCGCTCTCTTAGCAATTGTCAAATATATAAGCCGACGTTATCAACTCTAGCCAAAGTGCTATACAGTAAATCTTTTCCACTTCTTCCTCCGTGAAACTGAAATTTTGAAGTCTCTGACCAACACCTCTCCAATACTTCCTTACACCCAGCCCTGGTCACCATTCGACTCTCTACATCTATGAGTTCGGCTTTTGTTGATTCATTTTTTACATTAATGTTTTTATTAGATTCTGCATGTCAGTGAGATCTTGCAGTATTTTTTTTCCTCTGTGTTTGATTTACTTCACTTAACAGAGTATCTTTTCAGTTCACCCAAGTTGTCTCCGATGACAGGACTTCCTTCTTTGTACTGCAGAATAATATTCTGTTGTGTACGTGCGCCAACTTTCCTTTATCTGTGCATGCGTCAGTGCACACTTAAGTTACTTCTATATCTTTGCCATTGTGAGTAGTGCTGAAATGAACATAAAAAAGTAGTACTAGAGCTAAATCCAGGATCCTTGCACTGAGCTACATCCTCACCCCTTTATTTTTATTTGGAGACAAGTCTTGGTGAATTGCTAAGTTTGCCAGGCTGAGCTTGAAATAGTGATTCCCCTGCTTCAGCCTCCCAGAGTGCTGGGATAACATGCATGTGCCACCATGCCTGGTAAGATACTTTTTCAATGTACTGATTTCATATCCTTTAGCTACATACCCAGAAGTGGGATGGCTGGTGCAATTTAAGATTAGTGGTTCTCTTTTTTATTCTTTTGAGGAACTTCCATACTGTTTTCCATATCAGCTATACTACTTTCAATTCCCACCAACAGTGCACAAGGGTTCTCTTCACTAATAAAAGGGCACATCTTTACTCATGCTTGTCTGTTTTTTAAAAATGTATGCTTTGGAGGGTATTAGAGACTGAACTGACACCTTCACACTAAGCTCTCTCCCAGCCCTTCTGATTTTTTGAAATATGTTCTTATTAAGTCACCAAATTGCCCAGTCTGGACTTGAATCTGTTATCCTCTTACCTCAGCCTCCAGAATGCTGGGATTACAGATGGGCTCCATCATAGCTGGCTACCATGTTATTAATACATTTTTGCTTGAACTCATAACTCGTCAATTCCCTGTAAACAGGAGGGAATCAATTGAGAAACAGTTATTAAAGGAAAAAGTTCAGTGTGTGTGTGTGTGTGTGTATGTGTGTGTGTGTGTGTGTGGTTTCACTCTGTAGCTTTACCTAATACCTGATCATTCCTTCGTACAAACCCTTTTTTTTATTTGGTCTTAGTGATATAGCACAAAGCAACTTACCTCCTCCTCCTAGCAGTAATGAAAGCAAGGAGAACAATAAAACACAGAAATAATGAACATGTGCTTTTGTGCTTTCTTTAACTGGGTGGGTCACCTAGGAGAACTTACCTTACAGAAACATGTATTTTACAAAGCATTCTTTGGCAACTGGTGGATTTATTTTGTTAACACCAAAGCTGCCCATTCCAATGTGGTCAACAGTAACACATGATATTCTTTGAAACCTCTTGAAATTGATTTTTCCTAAATTGAGTAAAATTAACAATTTTTAATCTTAAAAGTTTATGGATGGGGGCTGGGGATTTAGCTCAGTGGTCTCGCTGCCTGCTGCACAAGCGCAAGGACTGGAGTTTGATCCCCGGTACAAAAAAAAAAAAAAGAAAAAAGTTTATGGATGACAATTTAAAAACACACCTCCAGTGATTTTATGGAAAGAAGGTTGTGATAATAAATGAACATTTGGATGCCTAAGATGAGTCGTTTTTGTGTTTCCTCCTTACTAACACATAGCTGGTACGTGGTCCTCCTTCATTCATTTGCTCTTTTCCCTCACTTCTCACCAAAAGTTTCCTACATTGCAAATTCTGTGGATGTGTTAATTCCTATGCTTCCTGGAAGAAATACAAACAGCATTCTAGTTAATCTCAATGAGACCTCTGATGACACATCAGAATTTGAAACTGGCTAAACAATATCCAGGGTGGTCTGAGCAATATCCAGCATTTGGATATAGCATATAAATCTGACTTGGAATTTGGGTAAGTGATTTTAGGAACCCAGGGCACTTCATTAGAAAGACATTCTTATCCAGAGTCAATCCCATAATACAGACTCCAGGACACAAAGTGATAAACTTTAGTGATGACCATTGTCTTCCAACTCTATCTGTTTAAAAACTAGCCGACTTAAAACTGATCTTATCAATTATTTATCTCCTTGGACACTGGGACATTGCCTAATTCACAGGCTCTCAGTTATGATTGCAAAAATTGTTTGTTTCTTCTTCTGGTGATTCTTTTCATATTCAAACACCTGCTTATTACAATCAATTTTATAGAAAAATAGTGGCTTCAAAATGAAGCGTTGGATATTCTTTTACTACCTTTTATGACCAAGAATCTTTTGGATAATACTTAATAACTTTTACTGTCAAGATATGCTTTTTAATCTCTAGCCTAACCTGACCTTGTTGGCCTTTAAATGCATTTATTCTTGCTCTATGAAGATTAAGAAGTGTTGGCTGGAGTTCTCCTCAACGTAACCGTTTGCTTACTTGCCTTGCTTGCTGGCAATTGCAAAATCATCCCTCAAAAGAAATATCTCCAACCGCCTCTGCCTTTTTTCATCCCATCTCTTACGATGCCTTGTCTATGCAACTTTAGATACAGTGATAGATAAGACCAGGGGTCAATTGCTTGTGAACGTCTCTTGCTAGGACCCTTGGGTTTTAAGGTCTTGCTGCTCTCTTCTCTGGAAAGGGCACCTGAGAAAGCTTGGGTGACATAGGCCACACACCCGTGGTGTGACCAGAATGCCATGTGCTTCAGCTAATAGATTCCCAGGTTGGAGCACTGGACCAACATCGTTTTCTTTCAGCAACCTGGGAGTCTGGGATTTGGGACGCTGAGTGGTGTTCACGGCTACTTTTGAGCAGGTGCCTCGTCTTCAGCTGAGGTCACTGGGGTTGTCCTTGTTCCTGCCTTTCCTGCCCCGTCGATTCTGAGTGGTTTAGTGAGAAACCGGATGATGATTCCGCTAAATTCCCACTTGGGGCTTCGGATTTCGGAAATGGATGTGTGCTGGTTGAAGAAGCTGGAAGGGTCCTGAGGCATGCTCGAAGGACTCTGTTTTCAAAAAAGGAAAAAACATACAGCACACTGCCCAGTCTCCCATGAAGAAATCGGGTGGGTGACTCCATCCAATGCCACACGTGACACATCTCCCGGCTATTCTGGATTAAGGGATGGAATTCGTCGTATCATTTTATGGTGTGTAAACATCTGAGGTGGCCCAGATCCCACTTATTCAAGCTACCATATGCCCTTCCTATTTCAGACTCAGCCAGCTGTGGGTCAAAACTGCTTTTAAAAAAATACTACTCCTGTACTGAACATGTACTGACGCTTTTCTTATCATTATTCCCTAAACAATACAGTTTTCACAAGTGTTTGCTTACCACTCGCATTTTATGGGCGAATATACTTGGAAGTGACCTAGAGATGACTCATATGTGGGAAGATGTGTGTGTTTCTTTGTGGACTTGGAGTCTGCGAAGAGTCTTAGAACCAATTTTTCATGGGTACTGAAGGGTAATTGGAGGCCTGTGGCTACTCTTCTCCCATTTCCTATCAGGTCTCTGAGAGAATCGACAGGGAGTCATGAACTTTAGTTTTGTAGCACCCTGCACTGTCACCGGGGTGTAAGATGCTTCCAATCTAAGTGGAATCAAGAAAAACTAAGTGGGCCCCTTGCTGGAACTAGCCAGGGGATCTTGTGTTTTACAAAGAAAAGAGACTCTGGGCATTTTTGCTGAAACCTCCTAATGAAAAGAAATAACTTAGAGCTTGTAGCATTAAAAATATTTGGAGTGGAGGCAAGAGAGATAGTCAGAGTGTATCATGAGAAAAGAATGACACCTGATTGATTTTATGTATCGATACTGTGGTAACAGGAAGAAAAATACAAACAAGACCAAACACATACAAGGCATTCTGGACTTGTTTACACAGAGGGAGAAGAGGAAAAGCTTGATGAAGAATAATCATAAAGGAGAGGAGAAAGCCCGATCTTTGTATCTCCATCCTTGCATTTCCCGTCTGTCATCTTGCATCGTTGCCTTTTTTTCTTTTGTCACTAACCACAATCTAAAATGATATATTTTTTGTTTATTCATCTGGGTTATTCTCCTTCTTTCCACATTCTCCATGTAGTCTATGTATGTATGTATTTATTTGTTTATTTTTGGTACCGGGGATCGAACTCAGGACCTTGCACTTGCAAGGCAGGCAGTGACATCACTGAGCTAAATCTCTGGCCCTCTCCATGTACTCTTGATCAGGACCTTATCTATTCAGTTCCGGTTCAGGGAATCCATGCCTGGCACATACCGGGACCTGAGAATACTCACTAAATGCTCGGTGTTGGCTGGAAATCCAGGCAGAAAGAATAGGGATGCATCACGGCAGCTTAGTCTACTCAAGATTTCCACCAGGAAGGAGTGAGAGTCATGTTGTAGGTGAAGTTTGATCCTCAGTATCAAAAAAACCAAACAAACAATATTTACAATATTTAAATAAGCATATCTTAAAAACTAATATGACAAAAGATTTTCTTTTTCTTTTAAAGACAATTTTAGTGTATGTTTCCTAAAGAGGCTGTCCTTTAGGTTGGTCTGCTTTGAAAAGAATTTCAGATTAAAGTAGGTAGTTCCTCTACAGGGCTTGAAATATATATATATATATATATATATATATATCAGTTATTCATCAATGTCATTATCGCTGTCATTATTTCTAAAGTAATCAGGCAGAAAACAGATTTGTGTAAATCAAGTCTTAAATTGTGCTGCAAATATTTCACAGTTCCTCAAGGTTAATGATTTTGACACCAAATATGATAATTAAAAGTTGGCAGGCATTGGAACAGATGAACAGTGATATTCTGTCTAAGAAAGATTTTTGCATCTTTGTAAATAGGGAGGAATGGAGGGGTTGAAGGGAGGGCTGGGCAAGGGTGAAAAATAAGAACCAAGAGAGACTATGTAAAGGTGCAAATTTCCAATGATGAATGTCATTATACTGTACACCTAAAATGTACCAATGATTAGAATGAATAATCAATAATGCAAAATAGGAAGAAAAGGTCCAAAGGGGTAGGGGTAGTGGGAGGGGCAGGGGAAAGGAAAGAAGGGAAAGGAAAAAATGATGAGAAATGGAAAAAATGGAAATAAAGTCTTTGTAAATAGGGAAGGGTGGAGAGCATGAAGGGAGGGCTAGGAATGGGGAAAAAATAAGAACCAAGATGCATTATGTAAAGGTACAATTCCCAAAGAGAAATGTAATTGTGTTGTATACCTACAATGTACCAATAAAGGAATTTAATTAAAAAAAGAAAGATTTTTGCAATGAGGGGAATAAGGGAATGACAAAACATACCTCACTAGGGCAATTGTCAGTGACTTCTATAAAATATGGTGCTGTTGTTAAGAAGAGTAAATTATAATACATATTCACCGTACTGTGCTTGTCATGTGGGTCACATTCTTTTGTATTCATGGCACATTTTGATGCTTTTAAATAAATAGGACACACATGTGTAAATACCAAATAGTCTCTCTGGTGTGAAAAACTAAAAGTGTAAATGAGGACTAAAAGGTATAATAGGTAATGTGAAATAGGAAGAAAAGGGGCAAAGGGGAAGGGGAAGTGGGAGGGGGAGGGGAAAGGAAAGAAGGGAATGGAATGGAATCAATATGTGAAAATGAAAAGATGGAAACCAAGTCTTTGTAAATAGGGAGGGTCAGAGGGGGTGAAGGCAGGGCAGGGGAACGGGGAAAAAATAAGAAACAAGGTGTATCACGTAAAGGTACAAGATCCCAATGATGAATGTCATCATATTGTATATCTAAAATGTACCAATAAACTTAATGAAAAAAATAGTAATACACTGATAATTCAGTGATATTTTTTCCCATTTTATAAAAGAGAAAACTAAAACCTAGGGAAGTGGAGTTATGTATCCAAAAATCTCACTGATAGGAGGTAGGGGATTCAATCTGAATGAAAGTCATCTGGATTCATTGTCAATACTCCTAAACATCTTTATAAACTAGACTAGTAGAGATTTCTGTATTGGTTTGCTGATTTTCACGAAGTAATAGTAAGGATTGCAAGATGAAGAACGATAGCAGTGTGCGTAGTGCAATTCCACTTACTTTAACTAAGGCAGTGATACTAATACATGCTGCTATGATTGAGATGTGGTTTGTCCCTCAACGATTCACGTGTTGGAAATTTCGTCTCCAGTGTGACAGGAATTTCAGGAGATGTGGCACTGTTGGAAGTAGTATGTCACTCGGGGCTCTGTCTCCAGAAGGAAGGAATTAACGATGATCTCCCAAAGTGAGTTAGTTCCTGGGAGAGTGGATGATTACAAAGAGCAAGGTGGGCCCTCCTGCTTCCGTTCTAACCACGCAATCCCTTCTGAACACACTCCCACCGTGTTGTCAACCATCAGGAGTCCTCAACAATGCAGGACAATGCGTGGGGCTGCCCAGTCCTGGACTTTCAGCACCCAGAACTGTGACCTGACCTCTTTTCTTTATACATGACCTACTCTTCAGCATTTTGTCACAGCAATGGAGAATAGATGGATATCTGTTTATCTAAATGGTCTTTAGTGCCTCTTAAAGATAGGCACTGAATTACAACTCTCTCGCTTTTTAATTTTTGATGTATATTTCCTTTTGTCCTGTTATGAGAATGTTTAGAGTGATTCTTCAATTCTTGGCAATTACCATTCTCTGAGACTGTTTGCTTCTTAAAAAAAAATGCTCTGTTTAATTACCATGTATTAATTGTATATACTAACGAGGTTAAGTGTGCTATTTCCATACATGCATACAGCATGCACTAATCCAACTTCCTCTTACCCACCCTCCCCTCATACACTCTTCCCAATCTCTATTAATCACCATGCTATATTTGGGGAGTTTTATTTCAGCCTCCACATTTGAGGCACAACATGCGGTACTCGTCTTTCTGTGTCAGTTTATTCCACTTTACGTAATGATCCCCAGTTCCATTCATTTTGTTTCCAATAACAAGATTTCATTCTTTGTGGCTAAATAATACTCTGTTGTATAGACAGCTACCACATTTTCTTTATCCATTCATCTGTTAATGGCACCTATGCTCGTTCAATATCTTAGCTATGGTGAACAGTGCTGAAACAAATATGAGCGTGCGGGTACCCTTGATGTGTTTCTTTCATTTCCTGCAAATGTTTCCCCAAGGACGGGAAGGCTGGGACACATGGTAGAACCTCATTTTGCATGGCTCTGGCACCGTATGTTGTTTTCTAGTTATAACTCTTCTAAGATTCTTATAACTCTCTTGACATGTTTCGTCTGCCCCTACCATTATTTCTTCTCGAGTAGGAAATATTGCCTGTGAACATGAGTCTGATATCCTAGAAGACTCTGGGTGGCCAGGAAAGTTTTTCCTTTCTGTATGGTCTGACTCTGAACAAGGTACAAGCTGTGATTCATCTCTGCTTCTCATGTCCCAGGAAGTGTGTTCCATGGGGCTTTGGACCTGAAAAGGTCTAGGAGCTACATAGACTCACATCCCTGGGACCATTATCTTGTCTCTCCAGTGCCCCAGTAGGGAATGAAAAGCAGGAGGAAGAATCCCACCAGTGAGGAAAATCTAATGGCTTTGCCCCCTGTTTCAAAGATGTATCCTGATTCTTCTAAATTACTGGTTATTGACTTTTACATGCAACATAAAGGTAAGCCTAAGATTCTCCTCTCTCTCTCTCTCTCTCTCTCTCTCTCTCTCTCTCTCTCTCTCTTTCTCTCCACCTGGAAAACTTGGGAAAATTCAAGACCTAAAACACATTTCCCATAGTTTTCCACCACTCCTGTGGGTATGTTACTGCAAAGGAAGAGATGAGAAAGAACACGATCAAGATTTTTCCATAACCTAGACACAATATTTTCATGCCACTGCATTGTCCTATTAATATAGTATTAAATGAGTCTATGACAGTTTAAGGTAATACTCCACAAATAACCAGATATAACATATGCTGGTAATTTTCACCATATGAATATCCATACCCAGTAGCTTTTGTCATGTTTTAGATTTTCTCAACATGAATCCATACAAATATGGACTCTGAATAGAAATACAGTATGGAGTTGTATACATTTGGGTACTTATTTCCAAATCATTTTCCAAGGAGTTGTACTAATGTACAGTATTGTTTGCAATGTTTAGTTACTGCAATGGTTGCTCTCACTCATTCCAACACAAGATAACTTGTAAGCCCCAGCAAGAACAGAAAGAAACACAAAAGAATTACATCTGGGACCTTTTTTTCTCTTTCTCATTTTAAAAAAATCTCTGTTGTTCATGCAGTTTGAAAGATCTTTTTTAAAAAATTGAAATTGGGACAAATGTATGAACAATTCTCTTAAACCAAAGGCCTCTCTTATGACTGCTTCCATTTGGTTCAATAACTTGAAAGACTTTGCCACCCATGGATTTCCCAGGTTTTATCTTTCACTGTGGATTTCTAGATTCCTTAGGGTGGAGATATTTCTCCAAAGGTATAGCCAACGGGCAATTGATTAATTCTGGCAGTGTGTAATATGCCCAGTACTTTTCAGAAGAGTGCAACAATGCTTCAAGTCTTAGCTTTGGAAAACTGGCCCCAGGTCCACTTTTAGCACCATTTTTCAGTCCACTGACAGTAGAGATTTGTTCTGGGATCTTTCCATCAGCAGCTGAGTTTACAGTGAGGAGTGATTAAATGCAACCTTCAGGAGCTGAGTGGGCCTTGGACACAGCATTTGAGCACAGTAATTACATGTACGGTCTTCGTGGTGTGGAAAGAGAAACCCCAACCAGCGACCCACGCTAAGGGTGAAAGAGGCCTCCTTTCGAAAACACAAAACCATCTTTGTTTTTTATTTAAATTATATTTCTGGTTTATGTTCATTCCCAAGCAACTAAATTTCAGTAACGAGGAAGAATTTGACTCTAGTTTGGACCTCACAGAAATCTTCTTTCTGAGAGTCTCCAGAGGAGGCCTGAATAAGTACCCCTTCCTCATGCAAAGCTGTTAATCCAATATGTAGAAAATGCCTGTCAGAAATCCAAACTCTTCTAGAACTGTTGCCTTTACTGGGGTGTTCCTTTCTTTGTGAGTTTCCCCCAGAATATTTTATGGCCTGCACTTTGAACATGGGAAAAGGCCATCCTAACTGGCACTGTCGCAGAAGAGAGATGGAGACAGAAGCAGAATTGTCACACAATGGTCATCTGTCATTGAGTCAGCAAAATGGGCATCCCTTTGCATTATGGTGTACTGGCCTTAGCTCTGGGCTTACAGATGATGTTAAGACTCTGCTCTGTTCCTAAAAGATTCTTGGCCAGAAGTAAAGATATTTGTCAACTTTCTCTGTTTTATTGGCTTACACTGATAGCCTCATTCACTGCCTTACTGGGGAAAGGAGACATTGC